GGACTGTAGAACTGGAATATACAATATTTTACTAGTTATGAAAGATATGTTTTACTAATGTGGGCATTAATGAAATTCCATTTCCTCCCCCATTCATTTCATACTCATCAAATGTGATCACACCCTCTTTCCTTTTGTTGGTAAATATCTTCTGCTGTTGGTACTGCTTATTTAAAAACTCATTATTCTCCTCCCCACACTCCTTATCTGACACGCTGTATATGTATTGCCTGCATCATTTTACGTGGCATCTGCACTCCATGGTAGTGATTCTGGCTCTGCTCATTACATCTTGGTTTATGCAACAGGATGGCAAAGTAGATATTTACCAGTCAAAAAACATATTCTGTGTGATGGAGTTCACTGTATTGTTTCTTGCTGCATGTACTGTATGTAAACCAAATAAATGTTATTTTGGTTGGTAATACTAAACATAGTGTGTCATACTAATTTCCCTCTCTCCTGGCCATCCTTCTATAAGATACCAAGATAAATGACACATACAGTGTGTGTTGTAGATGAAGCTAGACACCAACCCACAAAACAGCAAACTTTCAACAGAAAATGGGGAAAATTCAACTGATCCTGCTGTCATCAGCAGTAACCCACAACCTGTGTGTGAGAAACTCATCTTCTTGTGTGGCCAGTGTAATGATGGTTTTGGAAGCTTGGAGGCATGCAAACAACACATGATGCAGGTAATAAATTCTGATGTGGAGTATGCTCTACAGAAGTATCATTTTTTTCTCTTACATTTCATTCTTGCAGTATGTATGTCCATGAAAAAAACAAGTTCTTTTCTTTTATCATTTAAAGATATTTGCTGTCTTACATTTTCACACCAAAGATCACCTGGAAATGTTTGAAGTAAGACACGAGAGTTATTCAGAGAGTCTAATACACTGTCAGAACTGGGCCAATGTTCTGCCAACTTTTTTTCACTAGTGGCACATCATGATTTATGAAAGACATGATAGCAAATCACAAAGTTTCACCTCATGGAAATTATGCATGGCTACATATAAATACTTGCCCTGTAAGGCTGGGGCCACACGACTGTACAAAGCACGTTCATTGTAACGCACATCGTGACGTCCATCATAGAATTATGATTTGTAAGTTCAGACAATAATGTTATTTTTTTTCTAAATCCTTTCAAGCTTCCACGGTAAGTGGCGCTTGTGTGGTGTTCTCACCTACATCCATACAAAAGTACGTCCGTTGCAACGGACGTACTTCGTGCGGTCGTGTGGCCCCAGCGTAAGAGTGCATGCATCCATATGAAAAAAGAACATAACACATGTTGAACAGAACTATAGATGAACCAGTGGTGTGTGTGAAAAGTAAAGCTGTCCCGCTATAGGCCATGTAGGCGCTTGAAGGGAGAGGAGATACGGCTCCTACTTGTGCCTAACCTCGGCTGTAGATAAGGGTATTTTAAACTTACTTTTATTACATTCTCACAGGATCATGACTTGATTGTTTATGATGGAGCTGCAAATTCAAAAACAAATGGCTTTGGGATGAAGACTGAGGCTGGTGATATTGAAGGTCTTTTACCACATCAACCACATAAGCTAACTAGTCACACAGTTAAACAAGAAACAAGTTCTGAACCAAGTGAAGACAAGCAACCAACAGCTGCAACAGGCAAGCGGAAAGTACAGATGCCCAGGACTTTGGAGCGAGAATATTGGTTAACTAAGAGAACAAATAACAGCACAGTTCCAAATGACAACAAACTGAAGTGAGTTATGGAGAGATAACCCAAAAATCTGAAGGCTGCCCATGAATTTCCTAAGGTGTTGGATGTTCATTTTTGTGAACTGGTGGTGGGGTAATTGCATTGTGAAATGTAATTGCAGTAGAACAAGTGTGACCTATAACAAGAACTTCAGTATAGTGAGCGAACCAAGTGGCACCATCAGTTTCTTAACAAGACCTTTTTCTGGTGCCTTTGTATTATCAAGCAATTCCTAGCTATTAACTACTATTTTCTGTAATGTTTTACATTCACTGTATTTGCAGTTTTGCTTCCAAAGTTGTTTATAACTGGCAGTTCATAATCATTGTGTTAATCTACTCTCTCTGCCTCTCCATTCTACAAGAAGGAAGTCTGCATTCCAGAATATTATATTGTTTCCATAATTTGTTTAGTCATCTTAAGGAGTTTGGGACATGTTGTGCTCAGCATCACTGCCCAAAATAATAATTATCCATTGTACGCACAGTATGAGTAGTGTGTACATGTAACAGTGGAGCACAACATTTTTTGATCTGTGAATAACTGCATTGCCTTCCCATTCCATAAACCAAACTGTAAGTAGCCAAATCAAAATCACTGCTACGGAGTGAAGTCACTACTTCATGACACAGCTGATGTCACAGCTTCTCTTGCACTGTATCTAACTTTTCATGTGCCTGTGTGACATTGCACTTCAGAATTAATAACTTGAAGGTTTTATGTATTACGAGTGATACATTCTGTGAAGATATGAGCTGCGTAGCTCAGTCAGCATAGTGACTGACTATGGGCTGGATGAATGGGATTTGATTCCCGACAGGGGCAGAGGATTTTTTTCTAGCCTTTGCATCCAGACCAGCTCTGGGGCCCACCCAGCCTTCTGTCCAGTGGGTACCTGGGGCTTTCCCTGGGGGTAAAGCATGGTAGGAGTATGATGCTGACCACTCACCCCCATTTAGTGCAGAGGTTGAGAATGAGTAGGAGCTATACCTCCTCTCCCCTGTGCACGTACATGGCATGTAACGGAACGGCTTTACCCTTTTTATGTTCTGCGAAGATACTTGATGCTTATAGTGGATAATTTTCATTTCTTGCTTCTTAGCCTGGACATCTTTATGTAATTAAAATATGATGATGCATCTCATTAATTAAAATATTGTTTTTGGTGTCTGTTGTCAGAAAACCATTATAATTTTTTCCAAGGTTGTATACCTCTCATAAGTAAATTACAGCAAGTTATGAGCTGTGACGGCTAAGATAGGACAGATGGAAATTTTATTTTCTCATATTTGTTGTTTACTATTCCATTGAAAATGATCCAGGATTACTGAGCATAGTGACTAAGCTACAGACTGGGTGGTAGGGTTTGATTCGCAGCAGGGGTGGGTTTTTTTTCTCTTTGTTACCATATCCAGCCCAGCTCTTTGAGTTCCACCCATCCATTGGGCACCAGGAGCTACTTTCCCAGGAATAAATATAGCAGGCCTTTCCTCCATATGTCTTCATGATGTGGTGATTGTTTAAGCACAAGAACAACTTGACCTTTATTGTGTAGTAAAGTAGTAATTAATTAGAGTCTGTACTTGAGCTTTTATTTGGTGTATGAATAATTACCATTAAGAGAGCTGTATCTCATAAACTTTCAATCTGAATATTATACAGAATGTGTTTACCAATACAATCTTAGGGAATAATTTTCTCATAAATTTGAGTCGCCATTTTGCTGAACTCAAATGAAATTCATCTGCTGCAAAGTAGTGAACTACTGCAGATAGGCAGACACCAAGCTGCTCAAAAATAAGATATTCAGTGGGAGGATGTTTATGAAACAAGATTAAAAATCTTTACGGATGATTAAGTTACTGCAGTATTCAGATTTGATTCCTTCTTTATGATGGGCATTGTTATGTTTGTCTCCAGATGTGGGGAACGGGCATGTCAGTACAAATTCAACACTGAGGATGCTCTTAATGCTCATATGTCATGTCATGCAGCAAGAGGCACTGAGAAAGATGGTGATGTTGCAGCACGTCGAGATTTTGGATGTTACGTCTGTGGCGAGAGGTACGTAATTTATCAGTTGTGCAAACGAAGAAGAATGTAACAGTTGCTTTTAAGATTCTTTGTACACTGGTTGGGACAGCAGAATATGTCCCCTAAATGTGAGATCATTAAATCAGGACAGGCGCTTCAGGGCAGATTTCTACAAAAATTTATGAATTGTGCAGGTTTGAGAGGTGGCGTGGCTGTGCACTGCACCTATGGAAAGTTCATGCAGTGGATGCAGGCCTGTTGAGTTGTCCTGTGTGCCAAACCTATAAAACTGTGACAGCAGTGAAATTGGAGAATCACATCAAAATACACGGTGAAGTAAGGGCATATACATGCCCAGATTGTGGCAAAGGCTTCAAACAGGCCTCACAGTTACGCAATCATCGTGTCATGCACCTGGATCGTAGAGCTGGTCCTGTACCCAGATGGTAAATATGACACTTACCTTACTAAGTTAGAGACAAGGTGATATGTTTATGCACTGATACAATGACAGGAGGAGCAAATGATGGCTGCTTAACCAGCATAAATATGACCGAGTGACCGACTGGTATTTCATATGTTGTTTTCTCAAATTTAAAATTATATCTTGTTTTGTTCAATGCTGTTGGTTTTCTCTTAGTTTTACTTATAACAAAAAACAATTGATTCATACCACATTCAATTATTTGATCACACGTTTACTGGGAACAGTTACTCAAACTTAAGAGTTGCTTCTTATGCAAAGCAATTGCTTGAAAAGTTACATTCTGCCACAGACTATGGGGATGGGTATTGTCATGGTAAAGAGTCGTTGGCAGCCATTGCTGCAAGCAGTTTGTGACTCTTGGCTTGACTTTATGTAAAATACATTCTGCTGTACTTAAGTTGCAGACAGTAATAACTCAGTGACTCACGAGACTAAGCACAGGCGCTTGTTTGTGTATGCAATAGAAAGCAACTTCACAGCAACAGACTCATGTCATCACAAAGTCTGTATCATGCTTAAGAAAGGAACATTGCTGCTTTGCCAGTTTCATACATGAAAGCATGAGACAGGTTTCTTCTTGGTACACTTTGTAATTTTACAGCTTAAAATTTCCTCAAATTTTAAAACTGTAGAACATGCATCATAGCAATAATTAATTTATACAAATGTGACTGTGTTCATAAATGTTGAGAATTCTGTTTGTTACAATCTAAGTCTTAAAATGTGTAATTTTAAGAAACAGATACAAAAACAAAGTACCAGAAAATTTAAGTCTAACTTGATTTATGCTTCACATTTAAATTCTTCATATCACTGCAAATATTGTATCTGTAGCACCTCTAATATCTTCAATACAGGAACCTTATTTTGGGATTTAAAATAAAATTAATTAGGTACATGTTTTATGTTTATATTTTTAGTTTGACCCAATGTGTCATTTGTTAGAAATTTCTGAGGCTGTTTGCATCTAGAGATTTTATAAAATGTGCCTTTGTATCAGTTTACTCAGTAAATCCAGTTACCACTGTAGGACAATAACACTTGAGAATAAAATAAGTACATTATATTTAAACATACACATACTTTTTATAAATGACAACACTCTTAATATTTAATGTGTACATATTCCTATATGTGAATTCATGTAATGATGAGAAAGTATTGCAAGATTACTTTTGTACTGTATCTCAGTAGTCAAAATCAGTTTTGATTTGTGTGTAGGTATGCATCAAAGCGCTGTGATATATGTTTCAAGAGCTATGCAGATTCTAAATGTCTGAAGAAGCACATACAAGCTGTTCACAGCAAGCTTCGGCCATATGTCTGTCAGGTAAATAAGTTTCTGGAAAAGGAAAAGGCTGTTGTTCTTATTATTAAGTAGATGTTGTTTCATGGTTTCATAATAGGATTTTCTGAGTGTTACAACATGAGAAGCCTTAAATGTAGGCCCCAGAGTCAAAATGGTGGGAGAGTCAGTGAAACTGCATGCAATTCATTGGGTCTACGCAGCAGCTTCTACCATGATATGATTCTGAAATAAGACTGCGGATATGCAGAAACACAGGTAGGTGAAGTGTATAACAAGAGTCACTTGTATATCTGTCAGTAGACGGTAATTGTCTTCCAGTCATAATGACACAGATTTTGAGAAATAAAATAATATTGAACAGGAGCCAGTTGTTGGGATTGATTCTGACAAAACAATCTCATCTTCAGTGAAAGTGAAAGTGATTAAGACCCTGTAGGAGTAGGTGATGACAGTGATGTGAATAAAAGCTGAGATAAAATTTGGCCCTGCTACACGGAGTGAGTAAGTTGACAGCTGATATAGTTAAGCCAACGTCACCTACCCAGCTACTTTTCATGTTGTTGGCATAAAAAGAAAAAAATATATATATGTATGTATACTGTCTGACAGGTGTGTGGGCATGCATCAGCTCGTAAAGCCATGCTGCAGATGCATCTTCGCCAGCATACAGGTGAGAAGCCTTATGGTTGTACCCTGTGTGAATACCGAACTGGTGACCACAATTCACTGCGACGGCACACCATGCGGCACACTGGACAGCGACCATACCGCTGTCCTCACTGTGATTACTCAGCAATCCAAAGTAACTCTTACAAGAATCACTTGCGTAGCAAGCACCCAGGCATGCAAGGACTGTTTAGCTGCACACAGTGTTCATTCCGAACAGTCAGCCAGGAAGGTTTCCTGCAGCATGTGTCTGACCATAAGAATGGCCTCATTTCTTCAACACCATCAGAAGGTAGTTACAATTTTTGTGATAATTAAGAAAAGGGCGGTAACATTTTTACTTTTGAGGCCATCAAAGATACTTTAAAACTTGAAAGTGAAACTTTGCTGAACAGTAAATTTTCATTATATCCTGATTTATGAACTTTAATTTAGTGCACATCACACATACTCTTTCCATAATAACCATTTCTAAGTTCTTTTTATACCAAATTCGGTATGTGGTTATCTCTTCCTTTTACAACCTATTTATCTGTGCCTTTAATATTAACTTTTTAAATTTTAGGGTTTTTTAACATGGTTCATAAATTTAATGAAATTAATATTTACATTTTCTCAGTTGGGAAAGCAGTTTTAATGCCTAATAAAAGAACACCTTAAATGTGGAGATATAAAATTGTGGAACCTCAATTTTGGTCTTAAGCATTTCAAATAGCATATGAAACATGTGCATCACACATAATCTTTTGACTGCAGCATAGCTTAATACTGAGTTTAAAAGAAGCATTTGTGATGTTTTAATGTTTCTGCCTCTATCGTCACTGGCATTGAAATATGAGAATCAAGAAAACCATCGTTGCATGTACCTATATCCAAGAAGAAGTTCTTTTCCTCTTTTCTGTCTATAAAACCAAGTTTTACCATAATTTAATATACTAAAAATATCCCTTTAGTGTTAATGAGTTTGTTTATCAGCAGTTAAGTGTAGTTGGTGTGTTTAGACTGGACAGTAGGTTACTTATTGTTGGTGAAAATATGTTTAGGTCTTCATGGGAGGTCATTGTGTAATCTGGACCAAAATAAAATGTAACAGTTGATTTGGTACAAACTTTTTCTGTTTCTTGAAATTTGCATCTGCCTTGTGATTTTTGTTTGAATTGACTCATTATTTCTGTTTTTTGCAGGTGAAATAGAGGTCTTCCCTGGCAATGTGGCAGCTGCACATCTCATCTACCGTTGCCTCAATGCACTTTCAACAGATGGCAGTCCACTCCAGGCTAATGTGACAGGTAGTGCTACTTCTGAGGATGGAACAACACAGACTATAACCATTCAGATTCCAACTCAACAACAGGAAGGTGGTACAGAGGCAGAAGTTGAAGATGAAGAGGCCACACATTGTTTCCTAGAAATTCATGAGGAAGAAGAGGAGGGTGTGGACACAGGA